CTCACTCAGCCACCAGGGGGACTCACTCAGCCACCAGGGGGACTCACTCAGCCACCAGGGGGACTCACTCAGCCACCAGGGGGACTCACTCACCCACCAGGGGGACTCACTCAGCCACCAGGGGGACTCACTCAGCCACCAGGGGGACTCACTCAGCCACCAGGGGGACTCACTCAGCCACCAGGGGGACTCACTCAGCCACCAGGGGGACTCACTCAGCCACCAGGGGGACTCACTCAGCCACCAGGGGGACTCACTCAGCCACCAGGGGACTCACTCAGCCACCAGGGGGACTCACTCAGCCACCAGGGGACTCACTCACCCACCAGGGGGACTCACTCACCCACCAGGGGGACTCACTCAGCCACCAGGGGGACTCACTCACCCACCAGGGGACTCACCTCACCCACCAGGGGGACTCACTCAGCCACCAGGGGGACTCACTCAGCCACCAGGGGGACTCAGGGGGACTCACTCAGCCACCAGGGGGACTCACTCACCCACCAGGGGGACTCACCAGCCACCAGGGGACTCACTCAGCCACCAGGGGGACTCACCCAGCCACCAGGGGGACTCACTCAGCCACCAGGGGGACTCACTCAGCCACCAGGGGGACTCACTCAGCCACCAGGGGGACTCACTCAGCCACCAGGGGGACTCACTCAGCCACCAGGGGGACTCACTCAGCCACCAGGGGGACTCACTCAGCCACCAGGGGGACTCACTCAGCCACCAGGGGGACTCACTCAGCCACCAGGGGGACTCACCCAGCCACCAGGGGGACTCACTCAGCCACCAGGGGGACTCACCCAGCCACCAGGGGACTCACTCAGCCACCAGGGGGACTCACTCAGCCACCAGGGGGACTCACTCAGCCACCAGGGGGACTCACTCAGCCACCAGGGGGACTCACTCAGCCACCAGGGGGACTCACTCAGCCACCAGGGGGACTCACTCAGCCACCAGGGGGACTCACTCAGCCACCAGGGGGACTCACTCAGCCACCAGGGGGACTCACTCAGCCACCAGGGGGACTCACTCAGCCACCAGGGGGACTCACTCAGCCACCAGGGGGACTCACTCAGCCACCAGGGGGACTCACTCAGCCACCAGGGGGACTCACTCACTCACCCACCAGGGGGACTCACTCAGCCACCAGGGGGACTCACCCAGCCACCAGGGGGACTCACCCAGCCACCAGGGGACTCACCCCCACCACCACCCACCCAGGGGGACTCACCCACCAGGGGGACTCACCCACCCACCAGGGGGACTCACCCACCCACCAGGGGGACTCACCCACCCACCAGGGGGACTCACCCACCCACCAGGGGGACTCACCCACCCACCAGGGGGACTCACCCACCCACCAGGGGACCCCACCACCAGGGGACTCACCCACCCACCAGGGGGACTCACCCACCCACCAGGGGACTCACCCACCCACCAGGGGACTCACCCACCCACCAGGGGGACTCACCCACCCACCAGGGGGACTCACCCACCCACCAGGGGGACTCACCCACCCACCAGGGGGACTCACTCACCCACCAGGGGGACTCACCCACACCCACCAGGGGGACTCACCCACCCACCAGGGGGACTCACTCAGCCACCAGGGGGACTCACTCAGCCACCAGGGGGACTCACCCACCCACCAGGGGGACTCACCCACCCACCAGGGGACTCACTCACCCACCAGGGGGACTCACCCACCCACCAGGGGGACTCACCCAGCCACCAGGGGGACTCACCCAGCCACCAGGGGGACTCACTCACCCACCAGGGGGACTCACCCACCCACCAGGGGACTCACTCAGCCACCAGGGGGACTCACTCAGCCACCAGGGGACTCACCCAGCCACCAGGGGGACTCACCCACCCACCAGGGGGACTCACTCAGCCACCAGGGGGACTCACCCACCCACCAGGGGGACTCACTCACCCACCAGGGGGACTCACTCAGCCACCAGGGGGACTCACTCACCCACCAGGGGGACTCACCAGGGGGACTCACCCAGCCACCAGGGGGACTCACTCAGCCACCAGGGGGACTCACTCAGCCACCAGGGGGACTCACTCAGCCACCAGGGGGACTCACTCAGCCACCAGGGGGACTCACTCAGCCACCAGGGGGACTCACTCAGCCACCAGGGGGACTCACCCAGCCACCAGGGGGACTCACTCAGCCACCAGGGGGACTCACTCAGCCACCAGGGGGACTCACTCAGCCACCAGGGGGACTCACCCACCCACCAGGGGGACTCACCTCACCCACCAGGGGGACTCACCCACCCACCAGGGGACTCACCCACCCACCAGGGGGACTCACCCACCCACCAGGGGGACTCACCCACCCACCAGGGGGACTCACCAGGGGGACTCACCCACCCACCAGGGGGACTCACCCACCCACCAGGGGGACTCACCCACACCCACCAGGGGGACTCACCCACCCACCAGGGGGACTCACCACCCACCAGGGGGACTCACTCACCCACCAGGGGGACTCACCCACCCACCAGGGGGACTCACTCAGCCACCAGGGGGACTCACTCAGCCACCAGGGGGACTCACTCACCCACCAGGGGGACTCACTCAGCCACCAGGGGGACTCACTCAGCCACCAGGGGGACTCACTCAGCCACCAGGGGGACTCACTCAGCCACCAGGGGGACTCACTCAGCCACCAGGGGACTCACTCAGCCACCAGGGGGGGGGACTCACCAGCCACCAGGGGGACTCACTCAGCCACCAGGGGGACTCACTCAGCCACCAGGGGACTCACCCACCCACCAGGGGGACTCACCACCCCCAGGGGGACTCACTCAGCCACCAGGGGGACTCACCCACCCACCAGGGGGACTCACCCACCCACCAGGGGGACTCACTCACCCACCAGGGGGACTCACTCACCCACCAGGGGGACTCACTCAGCCACCAGGGGGACTCACTCAGCCACCAGGGGGACTCACTCAGCCACCAGGGGGACTCACTCACCCACCAGGGGGACTCACTCAGCCACCAGGGGGACTCACTCACCCACCAGGGGGACTCACCCAGCCACCAGGGGGACTCACTCAGCCACCAGGGGACTCACTCAGCCACCAGGGGGACTCACTCACCCACCAGGGGGACTCACCCACCCACCAGGGGACTCACCCACCCACCAGGGGGACTCACCCACCCACCAGGGGGACTCACCCACCCACCAGGGGGACTCACCCAGCCACCAGGGGGACTCACCCAGCCACCAGGGGGACTCACTCAGCCACCAGGGGGACTCACTCAGCCACCAGGGGGACTCACCCACCCACCAGGGGGACTCACCCACCCACCAGGGGGACTCACCCACCCACCAGGGGGACTCACCCACCCACCAGGGGGACTCACCCAGCCACCAGGGGGACTCACTCACCCACCAGGGGGACTCACCCACCCACCAGGGGGACTCACCCACCCACCAGGGGGACTCACTCAGCCACCAGGGGACTCACCCAGCCACCAGGGGGACTCACCCAGCCACCAGGGGACTCACCCACCCACCAGGGGGACTCACCCACCCACCAGGGGGACTCACCCACCCACCAGGGGACTCACTCAGCCACCAGGGGGACTCACCCACCCAGGGGACTCACTCAGCCACCAGGGGGACTCACCCACCCACCAGGGGGACTCACCACCCACCAGGGGGACTCACCCACCCACCAGGGGGACTCACCCACCCACCAGGGGGACTCACCCACCCACCAGGGGGACTCACCCACCAGGGGGACTCCAGGGGGACTCACCCAGCCACCAGGGGGACTCACCCACCCACCAGGGGGACTCACCCACCCACCAGGGGGACTCACCCACCCACCAGGGGGACTCACCCACCCACCAGGGGGACTCACCCACCCACCAGGGGGACTCACCCACCCACCAGGGGGACTCACCCACCCACCAGGGGGACTCACCCACCCACCAGGGGGACTCACCCACCCACCAGGGGACTCACTCACCCACCAGGGGGACTCACCCACCCACCAGGGGGACTCACCACCCACCAGGGGGACTCACCCACCCACCAGGGGGACTCACCCACCCACCAGGGGGACTCACTCACCCACCAGGGGGACTCACTCACCCACCAGGGGGACTCACTCACCCACCAGGGGGACTCACTCACCCACCAGGGGGACTCACTCAGCCACCAGGGGGACTCACTCAGCCACCAGGGGGACTCACTCAGCCACCAGGGGGACTCACTCAGCCACCAGGGGGACTCACTCAGCCACCAGGGGGACTCACTCAGCCACCAGGGGGACTCACTCAGCTCACTCAGGGGGACTCACTCAGCCACCAGGGGGACTCACTCAGCCACCAGGGGGACTCACTCAGCCACCAGGGGGACTCACTCACCCACCAGGGGGACTCACTCAGCCACCAGGGGGACTCACTCAGCCACCAGGGGGACTCACTCAGCCACCAGGGGACTCACTCACTCAGCCACCAGGGGGACTCACTCAGCCACCAGGGGGACTCACTCAGCCCACCAGGGGGACTCACTCAGCCACCAGGGGACTCACTCAGCCACCAGGGGGACTCACTCAGCCACCAGGGGACTCACTCAGCCACCAGGGGGACTCACTCAGCCACCAGGGGGACTCACTCAGCCACCAGGGGGACTCACTCAGCCACCAGGGGGACTCACTCAGCCACCAGGGGGACTCACTCAGCCACCAGGGGGACTCACTCAGCCACCAGGGGGACTCACTCAGCCACCAGGGGGACTCACTCAGCCACCAGGGGGACTCACCCACCCACCAGGGGACTCACTCAGCCACCAGGGGACTCACTCAGCCACCAGGGGACTCACTCAGCCACCAGGGGACTCACTCAGCCACCAGGGGGACTCACTCAGCCACCAGGGGACTCACTCAGCCACCAGGGGGACTCACTCAGCCACCAGGGGGACTCACCCACCCACCAGGGGACTCAGCCACCAGGGGACTCACCTTGCCAGTAGGCATGTAGGGCTCGTAGCCGACGTCCTCCCGCCACACGGCGTGTTTCTCAAGAGTCTTGCCCTTCCTCAGCTCAGAGAACCTTCTCCTGGCCCGACACCACCGGCAACACAACCGGCTGTTGGGAGTGGTTGTGGTCAGTGGTTGTGGTCAGTGGTTGTTGGTCAGTGGTTGTTGGGGAGTGGTTGTTGGGGAGTGGTTGTTGGTCAGTGGTTGTGGTCAGTGGTTGTTGGTCAGTGGTTGTGGTCAGTGGTTGTTGGCGAGTGGTTGTGGTCAGTGGTTGTTGGGGAGTGGTTGTTGGTCAGTGGTTGTTGGTCAGTGGTTGTTGTCAGTGGTTGTTGGGGAGTGGTTGTTGGTCAGTGGTTGTTGGCGAGTGGTTGTTGGGGAGTGGTTGTTGGTCAGTGGTTGTTGGTCAGTGGTTGTTGGCGAGTGGTTGTTGGGGAGTGGTTGTTGTCAGTGGTTATTGGTCAGTGGTTGTGGTCAGTGGTTGTTGGTCAGTGGTTGTTGGTCAGTGGTTGTTGGGGAGTGGTTGTTGGGGAGTGGTTGTTGGTCAGTGGTTGTTGGTCAGTGGTTGTTGGCGAGTGGTTGTTGGGGAGTGGTTGTTGTCAGTGGTTGTTGGTCAGTGGTTGTGGTCAGTGGTTGTTGGTCAGTGGTTGTGGTCAGTGGTTGTTGGTCAGTGGTTGTTGGCGAGTGGTTGTTGGGGAGTGGTTGTTGGTCAGTGGTTGTTGGTCAGTGGTTGTTGGCGAGTGGTTGTTGGGGAGTGGTTGTTGTCAGTGGTTGTTGGTCAGTGGTTGTGGTCAGTGGTTGTTGGTCAGTGGTTGTGGTCAGTGGTTGTTGGTCAGTGGTTGTTGGCGAGTGGTTGTTGTCAGTGGTTGTTGGGGAGTGGTTGTTGTCAGTGGTTGTTGGTCAGTGGTTGTTGGCGAGTGGTTGTTGTCAGTGGTTGTTGGGGAGTGGTTGTTGTCAGTGGTTGTTGGTCAGTGGTTGTTGGCGAGTGGTTGTTGTCAGTGGTTGTTGGGGAGTGGTTGTTGTCAGTGGTTGTTGGTCAGTGGTTGTTGGGGAGTGGTTGTTGGTCAGTGGTTGTTGTCAGTGGTTGTGGTCAGTGGTTGTTGGTCAGTGGTTGTTGTCAGTGGTTGTTGGGGAGTGGTTGTTGTCAGTGGTTGTTGGGGAGTGGTTGTTGGTCAGTGGTTGTTGTCAGTGGTTGTTGGTCAGTGGTTGTTGGTCAGTGGTTGTTGTCAGTGGTTGTTGGGGAGTGGTTGTTGGCGAGTGGTTGTTGTCAGTGGTTGTTGGGGAGTGGTTGTTGGTCAGTGGTTGTTGGGGAGTGGTTGTTGGTCAGTGGTTGTTGTCAGTGGTTGTTGTCAGTGGTTGTTGGGGAGTGGTTGTTGTCAGTGGTTGTTGGGGAGTGGTTGTTGGGGAGTGGTTGTTGGTCAGTGGTTGTTGTCAGTGGTTGTTGTCAGTGGTTGTTGTTAGTGGTTGTTGGTCAGTGGTTGTTGGTCAGTGGTTGTTGGTCAGTGGTTGTTGGTCAGTGGTTGTTGTCAGTGGTTGTTGGTCAGTGGTTGTTGTCAGTGGTTGTTGGTCAGTGGTTGTTGTCAGTGGTTGTTGGTCAGTGGTTGTTGGGGAGTGGTTGTTGTCAGTGGTTGTTGTCAGTGGTTGTTGTCAGTGGTTGTTGGTCAGTGGTTGTTGTCAGTGGTTGTTGGTCAGTGGTTGTTGGGGAGTGGTTGTTGTCAGTGGTTGTTGGGGAGTGGTTGTTGGTCAGTGGTTGTTGTCAGTGGTTGTTGTCAGTGGTTGTTGTTAGTGGTTGTTGGTCAGTGGTTGTTGGTCAGTGGTTGTTGGTCAGTGGTTGTTGTCAGTGGTTGTTGGTCAGTGGTTGTTGTCAGTGGTTGTTGGTCAGTGGTTGTTGTCAGTGGTTGTTGGTCAGTGGTTGTTGGGGAGTGGTTGTTGTCAGTGGTTGTTGTCAGTGGTTGTTGTCAGTGGTTGTTGGTCAGTGGTTGTTGTCAGTGGTTGTTGGTCAGTGGTTGTTGGGGAGTGGTTGTTGTCAGTGGTTGTTGTCAGTGGTTGTTGTCAGTGGTTGTTGGTCAGTGGTTGTTGTCAGTGGTTGTTGGGGAGTGGTTGTTGGTCAGTGGTTGTTGTCAGTGGTTGTTGGTCAGTGGTTGTTGTCAGTGGTTGTTGGGGAGTGGTTGTTGGCGAGTGGTTGTTGGCGAGTGGTTGTTGGTCAGTGGTTGTTGGTCAGTGGTTGTTGTCAGTGGTTGTTGGGGAGTGGTTGTTGGTCAGTGGTTGTTGGTCAGTGGTTGTTGTCAGTGGTTGTTGGCGAGTGGTTGTTGGGGAGTGGTTGTTGGTCAGTGGTTGTTGGGGAGTGGTTGTTGGGGAGTGGTTGTTGGCGAGTGGTTGTTGGTCAGTGGTTGTTGGTCAGTGGTTGTTGGTCAGTGGTTGTTGGTCAGTGGTTGTTGGTCAGTGGTTGTTGGTCAGTGGTTGTTGGGGAGTGGTTGTTATCAGTGGTTGTTGGTCAGTGGTTGTTGGTCAGTGGTCAGTGGTTGTTGTCAGTGGTTGTTGGGGAGTGGTTGTTGTCAGTGGTTGTTGGTCAGTGGTTGTTGGGGAGTGGTTGTTGTCAGTGGTTGTTGGTCAGTGGTTGTTGGGGAGTGGTTGTTGGTCAGTGGTTGTTGGTCAGTGGTTGTTGGTCAGTGGTTGTTGGTCAGTGGTTGTTGGTCAGTGGTTGTTGGTCAGTGGTTGTTGGTCAGTGGTTGTTGGGGAGTGGTTGTTGGTCAGTGGTTGTTGGTCAGTGGTTGTTGGGGAGTGTTGGGTCAGTGGTTGTTGGTCAGTGGTTGTGGTTGTTGGTCAGTGGTTGTTGGTCAGTGGTTGTTGGTCAGTGGTTGTTGGTCAGTGGTTGTTGGTCAGTGGTTGTTGGTCAGTGGTTGTTGGTCAGTGGTTGTTGGGTTGTTGGTTGTTGGTTGGAGTGGTTGTGGTCAGTGGTTGTTGGGTAGTGGTTGTTGGTCAGTGGTTGTGGTCAGTGGTTGTTGGTCAGTGGTTGTTGGTCAGTGGTTGTTGGTCAGTGGTTGTTGGTCAGTGGTTGTTGGGGAGTGGTTGTTGGTCAGTGGTTGTTGGGGAGTGGTTGTGGTCAGTGGTTGTTGGGTAGTGGTTGTTGGTCAGTGGTTGTTGGTCAGTGGTTGTTGGTCAGTGGTTGTTGGTCAGTGGTTGTTGGTCAGTGGTTGTTGGTCAGTGGTTGTGGTCAGTGGTTGTTGGTCAGTGGTTGTTGGTCAGTGGTTGTTGGTCAGTGGTTGTTGGTCAGTGGTTGTTGGTCAGTGGTTGTTGGTCAGTGGTTGTTGGTCAGTGGTTGTTGGTCAGTGGTTGTTGGTCAGTGGTTGTTGGTCAGTGGTTGTTGGTCAGTGGTTGTTGGTCAGTGGTTGTTGGTCAGTGGTTGTTGGTCAGTGGTTGTTGGTCAGTGGTTGTTGGTCAGTGGTTGTTGGTCAGTGGTTGTTGGTCAGTGGTTGTTGGTCAGTGGTTGTTGGTCAGTGGTTGTTGGTCAGTGGTTGTTGGTCAGTGGTGGTCAGTGGTTGTTGGTCAGTGGTTGTTGGTCAGTGGTTGTTGGTCAGTGGTTGTTGGTCAGTGGTTGTTGGTCAGTGGTTGTTGGTCAGTGGTGGTTGGTCAGTGGTTGTTGGTCAGTGGTTGTGGTTAGTGGTTGTTGGTCAGTGGTTGTTGGTCAGTGGTTGTTGGTCAGTGGTTGTTGGTCAGTGGTTGTTGGTCAGTGGTTGGTGTGGTTGTTGTCAGTGGTTGTTGGTCAGTGGTTGTTGGTCAGTGGTTGTTGGTCAGTGGTTGTTGGTCAGTGGTTGTTGTTAGTAGTTGTTGGTCAGTGGTTGTTGGTCAGTGGTTGTTGTTAGTGGTTGTTGGTCAGTGGTTGTTGGTCAGTGGTTGTTGTTAGTAGTTGTTGGTCAGTAGTTGTTGGTCAGTGGTGGTTGGTCAGTGGTGGTTGTGGTCAGTGGTGGTTGGTCAGTGGTTGTTGGTCAGTGGTTGTTGGTCAGTGGTTGTTGGTCAGTGGTTGTTGGTCAGTGGTTGTTGGTCAGTGGTTGTTGGTCAGTGGTTGTTGGTCAGTGGTTGTTGGTCAGTGGTTGTTGGTCAGTGGTTGTTGGTCAGTGGTTGTTGGTCAGTGGTTGTTGGTCAGTGGTTGTTGGTCAGTGGTTGTTGGTCAGTGGTTGTTGTTAGTAGTTGTTGGTCAGTGGTGGTTGGTCAGTAGTTGTTGGTCAGTGGTGGTTGGTCAGTAGTTGTTGTTAGTAGTTGTTGGTCAGTGGTTGTTGGTCAGTGGTTGTTGTTAGTGGTTGTTGGTCAGTGGTTGTTGGTCAGTGGTTGTTGGTCAGTGGTTGTTGTTAGTGGTTGTTGGTCAGTGGTTGTTGGTCAGTGGTTGTTGGTCAGTGGTTGTTGTTAGTGGTTGTTGGTCAGTGGTTGTTGGTCAGTGGTTGTTGGTCAGTGGTTGTTGGTCAGTGGTTGTTGGTCAGTGGTTGTTGTTAGTGGTTGTTGGTCAGTGGTTGTTGGTCAGTGGTTGTTGGTCAGTGGTTGTTGTTAGTGGTTGTTGGTCAGTGGTTGTTGGTCAGTGGTTGTTGTTAGTGGTTGTTGGTCAGTGGTTGTTGTTAGTGGTTGTTGGTCAGTGGTTGTTGGTCAGTGGTTGTTGGTCAGTGGTTGTTGGTCAGTGGTTGTTGGTCAGTGGTTGTTGGTCAGTGGTGGTTGGTCAGTGGTGGTTGGTCAGTGGTGGTTGGTCAGTGGTGGTTGGTCAGTGGTGGTTGGTCAGTGGTGGTTGGTCAGTGGTGGTTGGTCAGTGGTGGTTGGTCAGTGGTGGTTGGTCAGTGGTGGTTGGTCAGTGGTGGTTGGTCAGTGGTGGTTGGTCAGTGGTGGTTGGTCAGTGGTTGTTGGTCAGTGGTTGTTGGTCAGTGGTTGTTGGTCAGTGGTTGTTGGTCAGTGGTTGTTGGTCAGTGGTTGTTGGTCAGTGGTTGTTGGTCAGTGGTGGTTGGTCAGTGGTTGTTGGTCAATGGTTGTTGGTCAGTGGTTGTGGTTAGTGGTTGTTGGTCAGTGGTTGTGGTTAGTGGGTGTGGGGGAGTGGTAGTGGTCAGTGGTTGTTGTCATTGATTGTTGGTCAGT